TTTTTGGAGAACGGACGAAAATCGGTGCGCGCGCAGGATGTCATCCATAAAATTAAAAAAGTGTGGCCTTATTGCATTTTATAGAGCTTGTCAAACACAAGACTGGAGGTGGTGTCCATGTTTTTTTTTTTATTTTTTTTTTTTTTTGGGGGGGGGCGGGTTTCCATACGAATGCACTTACTCCAGCTGGTGGTACAATATCCAGAGGCGGTATCGCCTCTCTGATCCTCTAGTTTTTAAATAAAAGTAAAGATTGGCTTTAAGAGAACTTTGTTTACCAAGACAATTAAAATGTACATCCTGTATCTAATTAAACAAAATGATAGTCTTTAAGTTCTGGTGCAGAATTATTGACATTTTTTCTTTTCTCCCTTATTTTTCAAGTTTGAATTTTACCTTTGTACATCTGAACTCTAATTAGCTACTACAGATGACTGGTATTTATTTATTTATTAAAACAGAAAGCAAACAAAGCTCTATATACCTGTTTTAAGTAGTAGTAGCAATGATAAAAATTTAATTTATTAGTACCACCAGCGTGTACGCTGACAGTACACATGGTTTTAGTCCCGACACGTCTCGTACGGCTCCTGCAGCTCTGCCGGCTCCGCATTCTGGCGCCAGATACAAGTTACTGTTACCGCTTCTCCTCCTATACTACAAGGACCCGTGTCCCCATCTCTTGGATTTAGGTCACATATAATCTCAACTTGAACCCCCTGTTATTTTTGTCTCAATCGGTGCAATGGCCTGGGTGTGGCACTCATTGAAATGCACCCTTGTCAAATTTTTTTTTTTGAAAATTCAATGCCAAATATCTCCCAAACTGAAGGAATTTTGGGAAAAATTCTATAGAAGTCTGACCGAAAGTCATATGTGAAGATTCCAAATATGCCCTTAGATTTGACCTTTGTCCTTTATTTCAAGGTCAAATGGGCCAAAATTTTCCAAAAAAAATGGGAATTTTTGCAAAAAGTATTTGTTTCTGCCATTTTTCAGAAACTACACAGACCTAAGCTCTCATATTACAGTTGGGGGTTACAATTAGGGACTTCTTTTATTTTCAAGAGTTTGGGGTCAGTCAGTGCATTTTCACGGGGGGAGACGGCCATTATATAATCTAATGGCAAAACCGAAAACTCCCTAATTCTCAAACCAAAAATACTGTAGACCTATGGTTTTTTTCATTTTGTAGAACTTGATAAGTGCAATACTGAATGTGGTATCCTTTTTTTTGTTTTGATATGGTTAAGGAGTTGCGCTATATCAAAAAGTACAATGTTGCAATATTCAGTGATGAAAATAAAATGTGAAATACTTTAAAATTAGCAGAGATATGCCTATAGTTACTATTGAACTTGAATAGAAAGTCATATACTGGCTACCTTCCTGTGACCTTGAAATTGACCTTTGACCTATTTTTCATCATGAACTGAACTTTGCAACATTTCAGTCCCTTATATTTCCAAAACTGGCACAGATAGGGCCATAGTTACTATTGAACTTGAATAGGAAATCATGTACTGGCAATCTTACTGTGACCTTCAAATTGATTTTTGACCTACTTTTCAACATGAACTATCTTTGTAAGATTTTGTTCCTTTATATCTCCAAAACTGGCAGAGATATATGCCCATAGTTACTATTGAACTTGAATAGGAAGTCATATACTGGCAATCTAACTGTGACCATGAAATTGACCTTTGACCTACTTTTCACCGTGAACTGAACTTTGCAACTTTTTCTGTCCCTTGTATCTACAAAACTGGCAGAGATATGCCCATTGCTACTATTGGACTTGAATGGGAAGTCATACACTGACAATTTGTGACATTGAAATTGACCTTTGAGCTATATTTTACCATGAACTGAGTTTTCTGTTCGTTATGTCTCAAAAACTGGTCGATCAAACCATTTTTACAAAGGTTATGCAGTTTTTCCCTTTTTTTGGCACATTTTAAGAACTGGTTTATTGCAATTAGTTAATTTTGTCAATCACAGCACAGGTGGTAGTGGTGGTGATGGTGGCGCTTACTCCAGCTGGTGGTACAATATCCGGAGGCAGTATTGCCTCTCTGATCCTCTAGTTGGAATTGAAATCCAAGTATGTTCAACACACTGTATGTTGACTGTTCCATGTAAAATACAAGTGAAAGGGAATGGGTGGAAAAGGAGGAAAAGATTGAAAAAAGGGAAATGTTAGGAAATGTAATGATTTTCCTTGAAATTTCAACAGTGTCTCCTTCATCTCTCAGACATATCCAAAACTGTTGTGAAGATTATGATATTTGATATTTATTGTTCGAAATAGCTCGGTTATGCCAGAATCAGTTTATGTTAGCTGCTACTGAATTGGAAGATAGGAGTCGTGAGCTGTTTGTTTTTAAACATATATATCTAAAGTAGCTGAATAAACTGATAATTACCATGGCATAAGGTGGGTTCTGCAAAAAATATTTTACTAGTTCCCCTGCCCATTATACACAGCGGTTAAAAATTTAGCAACTTAGAACTGTAAACAGATTGGAATTTTGTCAATACTTCACAGTCAGGTTAATATTGTATATTGTACCACCAGCATAGTGCTGGCATTACACATGTTATCAGTCCCAACCTGTCTCGTCTGCTGGCTCTACTCCTCCTAGACTACAACAGCCTGTGTACTCATCTCTTGGATTTAGATCACATATATAATCTAAGCTCAATCCATGTAAATTTTGGGTTTCATCTGTCTAGGTTTGGCTGTCTTTGCAGTGCACCCTTGTCCAAAATTCTCAAAATTAAAAGCTAAATATCTCCTAAACCATAGGAATTATGAGTATAATTACTAGATGTCTGATCAAAAGTTAAGTGGAGATTTGAAATGAATTTTTTTTTTTGCAAAAAAAAAAGTGTCAAATTTTAGAAACTACATAGATCTAACCTATAATAAATATAACATTGCAATATTCAGTGGTGAAATTAAAATGTAAAATAACTCCAAAATTAGTAGAGATATGCTCATACTTACTATTGAGCTTCTATAGGAAGTCATATACTGGCAATTTAACCATGACATTGAAAGTGATCTTTGATCCACTTTTCACCATGAACTGCACTTCACAAATTTGGATTTGACTTTTTACTTTTCCTCATCAATTTGTTATAAATTGTAATTTTCAAAAAAAAAAAAAAAAAAAAAAAAAAATGAGAACTTTTGTTTACTGCATTTTTTTGTTAAGCACAACACTAGAGGTGGGGTTTCTATTTTTTCCACACGAATGCACATACTCCAGCTTTTGGTACAATACCCGGAGGCAGTATCGCCTCTTTGATCCATTAGTTATTTTCAGCTTGTTGTCTGTTCATTTGGCAGCTCAGATATTTTGAATATAATATGGTCCAAAAATACACATTCATTGTACCTTGACTTAATGATGTTTGTGAAATTTGAGATGTTTTGATAGGTGGAGGAGTATGACAGTGAAGTGAAATAGCTAAAGTTGTGGAATTTGTTGCTGACCAAATTGGGCTTTATAGATTTTTAAAAATGTAAATTTGAAAAACAAAGAATAATGCTTATGATTGAAGGAAAAAATAAGAAAAGGGAAAGACCTCCCCAAATGAGAACTTTTTGATTTATTGAATTTTCAGTGCTTTTGACACCAATACCTTTTTCTCAAATTCATAAAGTCTGTCTCCTCGAACAGTCCTTGTAAGGAGGGGATTTAAGTTTTGTAACAGGAGTTGATTTAACTGCCATGATGTTTACACTTTTTGAGAAGCTGTAACTAGTCTAGTGTTTTAGTTTCTGGCCCTTATGGATAAGATTGCCCCTTTAATATCTAATCACATTAGTCTGGGTTGTTTGTCCTGATGAAAGTTTTACTTGCCATGGTTGACAGGTATAAGGACTAAAAATACATTGCTTCTACAAGATGAAATGCCTAACACTTTGAATGAGAAAAAAAGCAAAGCAAAATGACAGAGGATTTAATTTTTTCTCAAATAATCTGATTTGGACACTATATTTCTATATTTCAGCCTTTGGATCACTATGAGTAATGACAAAATTAACAACAAATTGTGAGAACCGTTTATGACCTTGAAAGAATGATAAATCCACAGTTTCACTTACTGGATAAGAGATAAAGATGCTATAATTTAACCGTCAGTGTGGTTTATTGCCACATACAGCAGATAACATGGCTGCAAACATACCTCCATCTAGAGAGGATGGCATTCCAGACCTTCGCAACTGCCCTAAATGTGAAAAACGTATGACTGCGCCAAGACTTCTTCTTAGTTGTTGGCATATTTTGTGTGAGAGCTGTCTTGCCGATGCCATAGAGGGGAAGGAGCCTGGAGAAATCTTTCAGTGTTTTGTGTGTAGTAAAAGTGTCCCTGTGCCTTGGGATGGCGTGGCTGAATTTCCAGTGCCTTTGTTCCTACAGTGTGAGCCAGTACCCTCCACCACAGATGTCACATGTTATCACCATTATGAAGAGAAGGTGACCATGTACTGTAAGAAGTGTGACACAGCAATATGTCATTTGTGTGTGCTGACAGAGGACTGTCACAAAGACCACCCCTGTGTAAGTTTTAGGCTATCTTTTGATGAATTTAAGAAGAAGAAGGGAGAACTCGTTGAACATGTTCAGAAACTGAATGCGAAGATCCAGGAGAAAAATGATACCCTTATTGAGCTTGACGGCCAGAAGAGAGAACTCGCATTGGAACAGGATGAGGCAGAAAGACAAATTGAGACTGATTTTCAGCAGCTTGTTGATTTAATTTATAGACTGAAGGAAGAAAAAAAGGATGAACTTCGTTTCAAAGTTAAGGTTGAACGAAGCTTTCTTGAAAAGAGACGTAGAGATGTAGTCAGCTCCAGAAATGAAATGGAAATGATTAATCAATTGGCTGTTGAATTGATGAAAAATGGAACACGCAAAGAAATTATGCTGCACCAGAAGTCGGTTTCTTCTGTTATGGCTCGCCATGAAGCAGAAGCAAATGGTACCATTTTCAAGAAAGAGAAAGTTGAATATGTCCCTTACAGTGATTCAGATATTAAGGACACAATTGGGGAAATATCTGGAGGGACAACTCTCCCTGCTGGATTGAAACTAGTGGCAGAGTTTAGTGCCAAAGCTGAAGTAGATGAGTACACTCCAAACATAACAGCCTTGGCAGTTGACAATGCCATGAATATAGTTGTACCAGATGGGAACAACAATAACCTGAAACTATTTGACAGAAGTGGTAGATTGGTGTCAGTGTGGTCAGGTGATGGTGAACATCAGTTAAGGTGTCCTGCAGGTGTGTGCTGTACCAGTGGTGGAAATATAGCAATATGTAACAAGGGCAATGAGGAAATATTGTTCTTAGATTCCCAGCAAAGAGTCGACAGAACTCAAACAGTTAGCATAGGTGACTATAAATGTACAGGTGTCGTCTTTTCAAACGACTATGTTGTGTTTACAGCAGGTACATTCCAAGTTAGGCTGCAGTCTTCTTCTGTCCCATCCTGTGTGGTGGTATTTAGCAAACATGATGGTAGGGTAGTGAGAGAGATAAGAAAAGACAAAGATGGCAGTGATCTTTTTAGCTGTCCTTATGGGATAGCCTTGACCAAGCAGGGAAATCTGGTGGTGACAGATATTGATAAGCACTGTGTCTATGTACTGACCATGGAAGGGGAGGTATTACACAGGTATGGTAGGCCAGAGGCTTCAAATGGGAATAGCTGTTTATATCACCCATATGATGTGTGTGTTGACAAGCTTGGTCACATACTGGTCCCTGACAAGATTAATAACCGTATCCACATGTTGTCCCCAAAGGCTGAGTTTATATGTCATTTGGTCACTGGGGGGAATGGTCTGGCAAGTCCCCAGGGTATTGCCTTAGACCAGGAGGGACATCTTATTGTGTCTGAAGGACTTACAGGGAAAATCAAAGTTTTTGATTACCTTATTTAAGTCAGGTGATGAATATGAATTAGGCCCACCTCACATCAACTGGAACTTATTTCTATATGGCACCAGTTTGTTTGGTTCTAAAATGTTATAATGGCATGGGGGTGGCAGGGGCCCTCCCTTTCACAATATAATATGTAACATGACATTGTATATGCATGATTTGAAATCAGGTGTTATACCTTGACTGCTTTCAAAGTATAGATGGCATAAAGTGTAGATATCCAATAACATACTTAGTTTTGCTAAATGGGTATGATAATCTGCAGTGCATGTAGTATTAAAGCTTCTTTTGTGTAAAGTTACGATGTCAGTGTATATGAAGACTATTGACTTGAACATGTAATCAACATATAATCATCACTGCAACATGTTAATTGCATACATTTTATAACATTGTATACATATATTTCCTTTATATTTATATTTGTCAACCATGTGATTTGTTTAGAATTTAGTTCACAGCAGATGTCATGTTTTCTTACAAATAAAACTAATCGTTTGGCTATATCTATTGTATCTATTACTGTCTGTGTAGAAATCATCCTTTTGCACAGAGATGCTTGTTAGAGATCTAGCACAATAAAAAATAATGGATTTAATATAATTGCTGTTTATTTATTTCTTTTAAAGTAAAAGTAAACCACGATTATCTTGAAAAAGAAATTGAAAGACGACAATTTTAATTTTTTTTTTTTGCGTGACACCATCAGTGTATGATTTTTAAAAAAAAGTTACGTGGAAGTTAAATAACTTTTTCTCCTGATTCATCTTCAACTACTATATACACCAATAAAACCCATGGCGATAATGAACTGGTTGTTATAAATATATTCTGGAACTGTAAATGCTAGAGGCCTCTTGTTTGTTACTTTTTGTAGAGCTTGTCAAGTGCAACACTTGAGGTGATTTCAGTTTGTTTATTTATTTTTTTTCCATACTGTGAAATGTGCAGTGTTGCACTGCTTAATTTTGAAAATTACGACGTGAAATACTCCAAATAGGTATGGGTATGCCCATAGTCACTATTGGACTTGAATAAGAAGTCCTAAATTGACAATCTTACTGTAACACTGAATTCGACCTTTGATCTACTTTTTACCATAAACTGAACTTTGCAAATTTTCTGAGCCTTATATCCCCAAAACTCTCAGAGATACATCCATAATTACTACAAAACTTGAATAGAAAATATGTGGCATCTACATGTGGCCTAGAAATTGACCTTTGACCTTTTTTCCTCATAACATGCACTTCACATATTTATTGGAACCTATTTCTCTATGACTGAAATGGATCCTTTGATGTCATTTATGAGGTTAATATTGCTGGTGGGACAATACCTAGCAGTGTTGTCAGTGCTCTGATTCTCCAGTTCAAAAACAGAATATGTAGAATTAATTTTTTTTTTATTTAAAAAGTTATTACTGTGCCAAATGCATGGTGTGAGTGAAAATTGTATTTTATATTGGCGAATTTTAAAAGAAAAAATAGATTAACTAGGGCTTTCATTTTATCCATGTAGATGTGTCATCAACTGGTTTGGAGACTGGTCCACTGGAGCACTGTACCAAGTAGGCAAAGAATTCACCAACAAGATAGACCTGGAGAAGAGCAACTATGTTCCTCCTAACTATCTTCCTCTGGCCTACGAAGGGGTGCCCAACCCCCCAACCCACAGGGACGCTGTCACCAATGCCTTTGTATTTGTCCATCAAACTCTCCACCAGGCTAATGTGAAGATGCTGAGAAGAGGAGGGAGGACCATGGCCATTACACCTAGGCATTACCTGGACTTCATCAACCACTATGTAAGTACAAAGAAACAGCTCTGGAAATGGATGTTTGAAGATATTTTTCAGTAGGAATTTTTTCATATCTGAAGCTTGGTGATAAATGCTAGTTGAAAACATTATTAAAAGTGAGTGCTTCTCCTGTGCTTGAATTTTTTTACATCCATACATGATCTTTTCCATTTCATTTAAAATAATTTTGGCTTTTTCTCCATAAAGTTGCTTTTACATTTTGAAATATAATGGTAATATGTGTGCTTATTCAATTAAATATCCAGTTTCAGAGATATCTGTTTGTACCTTTTACCAGTTGTCAGGTTTGCAATATGGTTTTTAATTTTAATTCAAATAAAGGTATATCAGCAGCTCTGAGATAACACTTCTCTTCTTTCCCTTTCCTAGGTGAAGCTGTTTGTGGAGAAGAGATCTGACCTTGAAGACCAGCAGCTCCACTTAAATGTGGGTCTCCAGAAAATCCGCCAGACCACAGACCAAGTGGAGGAGCTGCAGAAGTCCCTCTCCATCAAGAGAATAGAACTGGAGGAGAAGAATGCCGCAGCCAATGCTAAGCTGAAGGACATGGTGAGTTTGAAGTTGGATACCTTTTAGGCAAAAGACCAAGAGGATTGTGATAATGATTTTATGAATGTGAGTACTTAAAATTATTCAAAGAAGAAAGCTTTAATTGAGATTTGTGAAAATTAGAATCATTGTATTGTGGCCTGTAGCTGAAAGACAGATCGTATTTTGGTGATGGTTTTGTAAATGTTGTGAGTTGAAAGATAAAAAACTCGGTTAAGATTTGAGGAAATTAGAGGGAGAAATAAGCATTGTATTGTGGCTGTAGGTCAAAGAACAACAGGATTTTGTCAGTGGATTTATAAATGTTTTACAAAGAAGAAAGTCTTAATCATTGTATTGTGGCCTGCAGGTAAAAGACCAACAGGAGGCTGAGAGAAAGAAAGTGACCTCCCAGGAGATCCAGGCCCAGCTGGCTGCACAGACCAAGGTGATCCAGGAGAAACAGAAGAGTGTGAAGGAAGATCTGGACAAGGTGGAACCTGCTGTCATTGAGGCTCAACAAGGTGAGATATTGTGTACTGTGATAATAACAACAACTTGGAGATATTGGTCACGGAGTTAATTTGTTTGCATATTAGATATGGTGTAGAAAATAACTATTAAATATTTAAAAAAGAATTGCATTGGTCACTTTGATGAAAGTGAAAGCATGTCACATTTGATGTAGGTGTGGTGATTCACACAAAAAATCATTTTGATAGAATGTTCTGCTTGGTATATTTTAAAGTTTTATTTAAAGGCCATATTTGAACAGGAATTTGTGGTGAATCCTGGAAAGTTGATCTCATTGAATCATGAATATTGTAGCAGTTTTTTATGCCATATTTTTCCTTTGTAGTACAACCATACTTTTGATTATTGAATAGATTAAATTTTGTTATAATTGTTTTTGGTACTCTTACCTTTTTTCTGTGTTATTCTTGATTTTAGTGTTGTATTTACTTTCAACATAATCATGACACCATTTCATAAAAAGGGAAAACTTGATACTTGCATATTGCCTGTCCAAACCAGTCAACCATACAAGGATACATACATAAGGGATGGATACATATTATTTCTTTGCTTTATGGGGATTTTTAAAAGTGAGATGCATTTCGGTTTTTATTCATTCACCACAATTTTGCTTCAATTTGCCATTATTTTCAACTGAACCACCTTCTCCCTGTACTCAGCTGTGAAATCTATCAAGAAGCAGCACCTGGTTGAGATCAGGGCTCTCCCTAACCCTCCTCCCGCTGTCAAGCTGGCCCTGGAGTCTGCCGCCACACTGCTGGGAGAGACAGACCTGGACTGGAAGTCTATGCGTGGATTCATCACAAAGGATAATTTTATTCCTTCCATTGTCAGTTTTGAGGCTGAAGATATCAGGTAATTTATTTAGCTGCCGAGGTTGTGGGTTTGTAGCGCTGCTATTTATTATTAATCCTGGTTTTCCCTTGTGGTGTTTCAGGGTTTTTCTTTTGTGTTTATTTGTTGACATTTCTAACTCTACTAACCAGGCGGTGAATTCCTTTTTTGCAGAGTTTTTGGAATGTTTGTATGCTGAGAAATCAAACTGTAACTACTGATATCCTTCGTGATTTTTTATTCAGGTTGTTCTAGGTTGCAAAGTGGTGATTCTCTTTCTTTCCTGTCATCAGATCTGACTGACAAACATAACTATGTGAGGGACTGTTTTCATAAAAGATGTTCAGACCAAAATTCAGTCTTAACTAAAAGACCAAAAATATGCTGGATCTGTAGCCCTCTATGCAGGATAGATCAGCAGTAGTCAACTAAAATCAAATTAAGTCACTATTTGTAAAAACATTGGCCATGTCTTTCTTTTTTTTTCTCTTACTGGACACAATATTGTACTGAACTGAGCTACTGCTATTCTGTCCTGGGTCCAAGTGAACTAATGTTTTGGTCCTAAAGTTGAGACAAACTTTAGTCTAAAGTTCTTTTGTGGAGCTCATCCCTGGACTAATAACTACTAACATATTCAGAGCCATGTACATTATCTGCATGGATTGACTAACCTTCCTCTAGATGACTAGTACCACTTCCTAATATTTGTAGCTGTGAAATCCATCAAGAAGCAGAATTTGGTGGAAGTCCGTGCTTTAGTGAACCCGCCTTCTCCAGTGAAGCTGGCCCTGGAGGCGGTCTGCTCACTGCTGGGGATGGCAGAACTGAGCTGGAAAGCTATCCGGGCTGTCATCATTAAGGAAAACTTTATTCCTTCCATTGTCAGCCTCAAAGCGGAGGAGGTCAGGTACTGTAGACTCCAGCTGGCTTCTCTCCTCTAACCTGCCTCTGTGTGGAAGTGTGCCTGCACAGAGGACGCATCCGGTTTATATACTAGCGTACTTAAATGCTTTGATTTGCCTCGCCTTAACCAAGCTCATAACCTTACAGTGGGACTCATTCCATTATAGCCCATGTTTAGCCATGATGCTTGCTTGTTTCCGAGGACTTCCGAGTTGATATGACCGCATTAATACTTATTGAATATTTCAGGCTTGGGGAATATATTTATATGAAGAAATGAAGAGTTGCCTTTTGCCTTCTTGTTAGGGATCTATTCTCTGCTTCTCTCTAATTTCCTTGGCACATATTTATCTGCTGCGCCTATATACAAACTCATAATCTCATTGCCCTCATTACACTGCCTATAGCTGTGAAATCCATCAAGAAACAGCACCTGGTAGAGGTTCGTGCAATGGGCAGTCCACCTCCGATCCTCAAGATGGTCCTCGAATCCATCTGCATCCTCCTCGGGGAGTCTGCTCCTGACTGGAAATCCATACGACAAATGATAATTAAGGACTCTTTCATCCAGAACATTGTCAGCTTTCAAGCTGAAAACATACCGTAAGTTTGGTGGCCCATCTTTAAGGAAATTGCTGCTGCTGCCACCTATGAATGTTATGTCAAACTGCAGCTGATGCCACCTATTGATGTTTTGTCAAACTGTTCCTATAATTACCTGTTGCATGGCTTGCCAGTCAGTGTGGTCTCATGTGTAAATAACATCATGACCAGGCTTATCATAAACTTGGTTGCTCTTCCCTTTTGGGTCTTCTTTCTATTCAATTATGATGATATAGCCATTATAATAACCGTTCTAACACAATATGCTGACATCCCTCTCCTCTTCCTGATAAGCCTTCCACCATTTTGTACCAGTAATCATTGTTTTATTTTACTTTCAGGCATGAAATTTTTTGTTGGGTTAGGGTATAAAATGTATAGCTTTCCCAGTATAGCAATGTTGTAAGATCATTTTTTTCTTTTTGTTTCTTCATCTTTATGATTTTATTTCAGACACGATTAATAAATACTGCAGTGTTCTAGAATGCATATTACACATCCATTGCTTGTAATATATCATGTCAGATAAAAACTGTTCGTGTTCTAGAAAATGTCTGGTTTTACTTGTATAACTTGTTATTAGTGACTAGCAGTACTTGTACTTTTAAATGTAAAGCTAAATTTGGTCTGAAAAAATTCAAATTGAAAATTAATGTGTTCTTGTCTTCATGTGCTTTTTTTTCATTGAAAGAAAAACCCTTTATGCTTATGACATTGTTTTTTATTATATATTTGAAAAACAATCCACTTTGTATTGCTTTGCAGTGATTGTGATTATAAATGTAGATGGATTTTATAGAGTTAGTTGTTGAATACTCTTCTAGGTAGTAATTTAAATGTTAGTAAAATTGTTTTGAAATTAATAATAATGTTCTCTCAGTTACTTCAAATAATAATGTAGTATTTTTTTAATCAGTGACACATTTTATTTAGCAGTTTTTGATAATGTTATTAAATTACCCTGAATTTCCTCCCTCAGTGATGATATTCGTTCCAAGATGAAGCAGAAATACTTAAACAACCCTGACTTCACGTACGACAAGGTCAACAGAGCTAGCTTGGCATGTGGGCCCATGGTGAAATGGGTCATTGCACAGGTAAGTACATGTGACATAATACACTATCATATATGGGAAATATGCCATAACACCTGGCATATATCCCAACAATTGTTTTTAAATTATCAAGATAGTGTTTTGTTGTGGGCAGTGCTTTACACAGATCCAACCGTTACATATGTCTTACAACCTTCAGACTACATTATAAGATTTAATGTTAACGCAGTGATTTTATGCTAATTTATAATGATTATTTTATGTAATTTTCCTAGATAAACTATGCTGACATGATCAAGCGTGTGGAGCCGCTAAGAAATGAGCTGAAGGCCCTGGAAGACGAGGCTGACATCAACAAGCACAAGAACAATGAGGTGAACAAGCTGATCAGTAACCTGGAAAAGAGTATTGCCAAGTACAAGGAGGAGTATGCTGTGCTTATCAGTCAGGCACAGGCCATCAAGGCAGACTTAGCAGCTGTGGAGACCAAGGTAAAGAGACATTAGTATAAGATATATATTTATTTCAGTATTTAAAGGCTATCACCCAGATCACAAAGATTTAATTATATATCAGTGGTAGTAGTAATGGCTGTTAATGCATATAGCAAATGGAATTCAGTCTTTATGCTTTAAATTCTTTTTTGCATTTGATGAAATTTTGTTTGAGAAATATTTTTTTTGGAATGCCTGTTTTAATATTTATTTGTGGGGTTAATAAGAAAAGATAAAATATTGATGGTTTGTATCTTACTTTTCATTTGCTGTGATTCTTGCATCTGTAACATCCTTTCAGTATAATGACAAGTCAAGTATAGAAGCAATAAATTAATTGTGACTATCTGTTCTTTCCCGACAGGTGGAGCGTAGTGTTGCCTTACTGAAGAGTCTGACCAGTGAACGTGAGCGCTGGGAACAAGGCAGCGAGGGCTTCAAGGCGCAGATGTCCACCATCATTGGGGATGTGTTACTGTCTGCGGCTTTCCTGGCTTATGCTGGTAAATGTCCAATTCTCTTGTATAAAGACTGTTTGTTTGGTAGCACCAATAAAATACATATTTATTCATTTATCTATTTTGTAAGATTTTAATTTCTATTTATTGTTATTTTTTTATTGATTTTTTTCTCATTTACTTCTATCTAATATCCATATTTATATGGTAATTTTTAGCTCTTGGAATAGGTTTTATATGATGCCAGAGAATAAGTGTGGTGTTCTGTTTACAGAATCATAGGAATTAAAAGTTGTGGTTTACAAATATATTGAAGTACTCCATCAAAATCAACCTAGTAATGGTCAGCAATCTGTTTTCTTCCAGGTTACTTTGACCAGCAGATGCGTCACAACCTGTTTACCACTTGGTGTCACCACCTGCAGCAGGCACATGTGCAGTTCAGGCAGGATCTTGCTAGAGTGGAGGTAGGAAAGTTGGTTCCAACTGTTTTTGATATCAAATGTCTGTGTTTTAGTACTTAAAAATCTTAATTTAACATCTGTAGATACAAATCGGTCTTTATGCTGGAATTGAAATGACCAATAAGGTATAACAAAAAGATTTTTTTCTTGTTTTCAAAAGAAAAGTTTAGTAATCTAATGCTCATCATCAGCAGTAAAGATGGCATGCCAGTTCACAGATTTTTATTGTTGCGCAAATGTCATTCTTTGTATGGAGGTTAAAGAAGACAGAAGCAACATGTATGTTTGTGTTTGTATCTTTCTCTCTTTTTCTCTAAAAATTACTTCTGTACTTTTCAGTACCTGTCATCTGCAGATGAACGTCTGCGCTGGCAAGCTAACGCCCTCCCAGCAGACGACCTGTGTGTAGAGAACGCCATCATGTTGGGCCGCTTTAACCGCTACCCCCTGATTATCGACCCGTCTGGCCAGGCCACAGAGTTCATCATGAATGAGTACAAGGAGAAGAAGATCACTAAGACAAGGTGAGGTATTTTCTTGAAAGGTGTGTGAAAAGTAGGCTGTGTATTGAATCTTTGAAGAGGAAGTTGTTATCAGATCTAAATATGTGGTTTGTTCAATGTAGTGGCTTTTACTTATGACTCACAAAGAATATTTACCTTAAGCTATTTTCTAAAGAGTTTGTTAAAAGCAGTATTTGTATTGATTTTTCTAGTAAACTACTGTCTTAAGACTTTGACATTTTTATTATTCATCATATAATCAGTTTAAATGAGACTGTTGGGTCGAATACTTTTCCCTCCCTCCCAATTTCAATTTTTATATTGTTATTGTGGCATTATAATGTAATTAAGATTATTTATTTTTACAGTTTCTTGGATGATGCTTTCCGTAAGAACCTGGAAAGTGCATTGAGATTTGGAAATCCACTTCTTGTACAGGTACAGTAATAACAAATTTTCTTTATTTTATTTTTATTTTATTTTTATTTTATTTATTTATTTATTTCATATATTTATTTTTATTTTCATAATCGGGGATAGTTTTTTCAGTTGTCTTTTTCTTCAGGTGAATTCTTATGGTTGTAGTCATTTTTGTTACTTATTTTTTTTCTTATGGTTGTAGTCATTTTTGTTACTTAGTTTTTGTATTATGTTTACATTAAGTGCAGAATTTAGAAGAGTAATGAAATATTTACTGTCCGTGTTTCTGTTTCAGGATGTGGAGAACTATGACCCTATCCTGAACCCTGTATTGAACAGAGAGCTGCGCCGCACTGGGGGCAGAATTCTGATCACCCTGGGAGACCAGGACATTGATCTGTCTCCCTCATTCACCATCTTCCTCTCCACCAGGGATCCCACGGTAAGTTTAGGAAAGATATTACTCTTATTTTATAATCATTGTCTTTCTTCTTGGGGCCATTTTTCATGTCATCATTAATTTTCAAAATCAGGGTGATTATTTTGGTTAACTCAGATTAATATGAAGATATGCCATAAACACAAGATATGCTTTCGAAAAGTTTTGCTGAAAATTAATAGTTTTTATTCAACAAAACCCCAAGTGTTTTGAAACAAGAGCCCCTCTCTGTCTCCCCTATTTAAACATTGAGTTGGTTGAATAAGCATTATTATTATTATTATTATTATTATTATTATTATTATTATTATTATTATTATTATTATTATTATTAATTCAGGTGGAGTTCCCCCCAGATATCTGTTCCCGTGTGACCTTTGTGAACTTCACAGTGACCCGCAGTAGTCTCCAGAGCCAGTGCTTGAACCAGGTGCTGAAGGCAGAGAGACCAGACATTGACGCCAAGAGATCAGATCTGTTGAAACTTCAAGGTGAGGCCATGGAGTTTGTCTGATTAACTTCAGTTTGAGTTTACCAAGCATGTCAAATGAACCCATTGAGCTTTAATACCCAAAATTTTGTGGGTTTAGTTTGTGTAAGTTCATTTCAGTAAAGAAAATAATTAATTGCATAATAGAGCTCAGAAAAAGAAATATTTTCTAGTGATGTACTGTAGTAGTATGTAGTAATACTTGTGACATTTATAGTATACTCAGTCATAAATTATGTATATTTGTGCATACTCTCATGTTTATATACTCAATGTGAGACATATATTTGTTAATTTACATATCAGGTGAGTTTGCCCTACGTCTGCGCCACCTGGAGAAGTCCTTACTGCAAGCCCTGAATGATGTGAAAGGCAGGATCCTGGATGATGACAGCATCATCAGTCATCTGGAGACCTTGAAGAACGAGGCTGCTGAGGTACAGAAGAAGGCGGAGGAGACGGATGTTGTCATGGCGGAAGTCGAGACCGTCTCTCAACAGTACGTACCACTGGCACAGTCCTGCAGTAGCATCTACTTCACTCTGGAGTCTCTGAACCAGGTACGGCAGAATAATTCTTTTCATGATAACAATATTAAGAGGGCAAAAACACTATCATATGCTGCAAGTCTTTTACCTGTTGTGTATTAGGCGTATTGGTCAGACATTGAGCTTCCATCGGTAAAAAATACTTATGATTACATAACATAGGAATTTTAGATTTCTTCAGGGATAAAAAACATTCTGATTCCCTCAAATTGCCAGAACCAGATATTGTAATCTTAATATACATATGCCCCAATGTAGATCTGTACCAGTCCCTCCTATTTGTTCCCCTAGGTTCACTACCTGTACCAGTTCTCTCTGCACTTCTTCCTGGACATCTTCAGTGCTGTGCTCCATGACAACTCCAAACTGGACAGTGTCAAGGACTATACCAAGAGACTGGAGGTCATCACCAATGACCTCTTCCAGGTAACTACTGAGTTATAGGACTAGAGTTTTTTTAATGACTTTTATAGAAGGGTGGGGGATATGATGAAGTCACACTCTGAATTCTACATTATATGGATCAATTTTATTTTATCAATATCTGATATTTTCTTTTATTAATCTTTTATATTCTATATTCACACAGTCTACTGAACATAACTGGATCTTACACTCTTAATATGTATGATTATTGTTATTGTATAGTACTGCTAAGGGAATTCAGTATTCAGTTTAAATGACAAAATAATTAGAAATATGTACAGATAAACATAGATCTATTTGTAGTTATTAATAAATCTGATGATAATTCAAATTAGGTTTAATATTAAGGCAATACTTGTCAATCAGACTTTATTAGTAATTACATCTTATACCTATAGGTCACCTTCAACCGCGTGGCCCGAGGTATGCTGCATCATGATCAACTGGTCAGTGGCCTCCTCTTGGCAAGAATCCACCTCAAACAACTGCCCAGGTAGGCTGCATTCTGCTGTTATGGGGTGGTTGGCTCATGCCTTAGTTGAAATCCCTCTTATCAAAATAACTTGTTTAACATGCTCCAAGACTGTCTTGAATCTCGATTTGTTTGTGCTGTCAGTTGGTTTTTGTGTTAAAGAACAAGTTATGTGCTCTTTAATGTATAGACATGGCAAAATATGGGCATTGGCAGAGGCTTTGAAAAGGACAGTGGTTAGTCTTAATACATGTTCTCATATTGGTTCAAATTCCTTTGAAATGTCTACATCTATCTGTTTACCAGTGAGCCATCCTATGAGGCAGAGTTCCTCCACTTCATGCGTGGCAAGGAGGGTCTGATGACAGAGGGACTCCCCAGTGTGGAAGGACTGCAGCCAGACACCGTGCAGGCCATGGTCCGGCTGGCCAAACTCCCCGCCTTCAGGGGAATCATGGCTAAGGTCAACAAGAACCCGGTAAGGGGGATTTGACCTCTCCTTGGACATTTGAAATTGGATTTTGTATTACTATTAATGTAAAGAAGGAGTAGAGAGAAAAAAGGGAAAAAAAATGCCCAATATGAAAAAGGATTGATTTTGAATGTTCTTTTGTTTCAAGAGCATGATGATTCCTGATAATCTTATTGAAATCAGCAACATGTATCTGTTAACCCTGCTCTTACATCTTAATTGAAACTTTGAAATATGTACTGTTCTTCCCCAGGATTTCTTTGCCTGGTTGAAGACGGTCTCTCCAGAACATGATGTCCCTGTGATATGGGACGAAGGAACTCCACTAAGTAAGTGGTCATGAACATTTCATGAAAGTCATGTCTCTAACAGAAACCAAGTAATTCATGAAACACATGCTTGAAATAGATATTTTCATGAAACATATGTCTATAAGGCATGTACCATTAAAAGCATTTCTGAAACAAATGCTTGTTCAAGTACCAACAAATACTGTTTTTTTGTATGTTTTTTAATTTCATGAGTGAATGATTTTATCAACTTGAAATAATGATATTTAGTTCTAATTGATCAAAGGTAAATTGGATAGTTGCATGATTTCTGGAATCATATAATTTAATTTTTTGTTTCATACTTCTGGTTTGTGGAAATTAGCATTTTGAATGGGTAAAAAAAAATAGGGTGGTATAAGATCTGAAAAAAGGAAAACACACAAAGTGTTAAAGATAAGACTAAATGTTCAGCCAATGCCATTCTGTGGATATTGTAGGTAGTATAGGCAAGGCCCTGTACCAGATGTTGGTCATCCAGACCTTCCGACCTGACCGTCTGCTGGCCATGGGACACACCTTTGTTGTCACGGTGATGGGGAATATGTTCTTCCATGATATAGAACAGGAGGTCAACCTGGCCGCCATTGTGGAGAATGAGGTAAGAGGATTTCTGTTGCTTCTAGAATTCTTATTGATGGGTTGTTTGAATGTGTAAACACTAAATTTTTTTCTTTATGGTGGAAAAATTTTTGATTTTTTGATCTTAAAATTTTTCCAAAATATTAAAAATATTATTAATTTTGGCCATAATTTTTATTCTGAAAAAAAGAAAAAAATAATATTACATTTTTATATAAATTTCCAAAAAAATTTTTAATTTAATAGTGGTGTTATTGTTCCTCAATTTTCATGTTTTTCCATGCACAGGTTTGCTACATGAAGTTTTGATTTTTTTAATCTTCTCCTCCCCAGATCCGTGCCAACACCCCTATCCTGCTGTGCTCAGTACCAGGTTATGATGCCAGTGGTAGAGTGGACGACCTGGCCGCTGAACTCAATAAACCAGTCTCTTCTATTGCCATAGGTAGATTAGTCAACAATTTGACATTATTAAGAGTGTGTGCATGTGTATAGGGTTAGAATCTGTTTGCTATTCTCATAAATTTTGATCAACTTAATTATTGAAATTGTCAGATTGCACCCAACATGTGGCTTATATCACATGTCATACTCTAGAATATCTAAACCCGTTGGACCTTGTTAATTTGTGATGTGAAGATTTCAGCTAATATCAAAGAAAAAATCCATTACACATAATTTTTTTGAGATAAACTATAATTCAAGTTATAAGGTAATGAGTAATGTGAAGCTACCTTAGCCTATAAAATCCTTCATTTACACCTTACACTCCTCATGTCAGGCTCTGCTGAAGGTTTTGATGAGGCAGCCAAGGTGATCAACTCAGCTTCCAGGGCAGGCAAGTGGGTGATGTTGAAGAATGTCCACCTTGCCCCAGGATGGCTGGTACAGCTGGAGAAGAAACTTCACAGTCTACAACCACACCCCAACTTCAGACTGTTCCTCACCATGGAGATCAATCCTAAGGTATTGTAGGGCTTATTCCCAATGAAACTATTATTCTTCGTAGATTGATCCAGCTCCGCAGGGACTCTTGCTGAATGCAGTCAATTTAAAAAGATTGACACCCTTCCTCTTGGTGTTGAGTAGAATTCAGAAAAGCTGGTGATTATACAACCACGTTGGAAACAAGATCGTGACTGGTACAGGTGATGCTGAACTTAAACTGTGATAGAATGTTATTTGGTTGAAATTCAGCCTTGATCTTTGTTATTAATATTATTCTTTGACTTAAGTGCTTAATATTTTCAGCTCCCAGTGAACCTGCTGCGTGCTGGACGTATCTTTGTGTTTGAGCCACCTCCAGGTGTGAGAGCCAACTTATTGAGGACCTTCAGTACTGTGCCCTCAGTACGCATGGGCAAGGTAGGGCAGTGTGCCAGTAGAAAACAAGTCTCATACATCATAGCATAGTGGAAAAAAGTACCTGTGATTGTTTTATCAATTACATTGTACATGGTTCCAAGGAATCATATTCACTGATGTTTTAATGATAGTAATCACCTTTGGAACAAAAAAATCTCTGTAATCTCTTCTAAAAGCCATTGAGGTTTTCTATACATATTAAATATTGTAAAAAATTATAAGATGATAATTACACTTTCAAGAAGAATCATTTCTGTTATCAGGATAATATATATATATTTATGTCCTATTTCCTTATCTATGAAAAGTTATAGGAAAGAAATGAGATATCTATAAAAGAAAAACAAAGAAAATGTACACATTATTTATCACATGTACCAGGCTCCCAGTGAGAGAGCTCGTCTGTACTTCCTCCTGGCCTGGTTCCATGCTATAGTCCAGGAGAGGCTGACCTATGTCCCCCTGGGATGGTCCAAGAAGTATGAGTTTAATGAGTCTGACCTGAGATGTGGCTGTGACACCATTGATACCTGGGTGGACATGGTGGCAATGGTAAGTACTAGGTACAAGACCAGTCGTCCACTTTCTGTGAGACATTTAAAAATTTTTAAATGATCAATGGTATGATTGTAATTTCTGTTATGTACATATAAACTAATGATATAATATATTCTATCAATATGAAGAAGAAGCTTTATTGTAGTCAGATGTACCTCTGAAGCAGTCATAAAGCATGTGTATAAAAATCAGCACTGTACTCTGTGTCTCATATCAATGATTCTCTGTAACTGTAGGGCCGCAGTAACCTGCCCCCAGAGAAGATCCCATGGGATGCGCTGAGGATTCTCCTGTCCCAGTGTATCTATGGCGGCAAGATTGACAATGACTTTGACCAGCGCCTCCTTAACTCCTTCCTGAACAAGCTGTTCACACCTAAGAGTTTTGATGCAGACTTCCCACTGGTAACTGCAGCAGAGGCTGGCAAAGCTATCACCATGCCTGATGGCATCAGGTCAGTACTAATTGTTGTATATATTTTCTTTTACTTAGTATTATATTTTCATTGAGTTTGTTGTATAAAAGTGAGATGTAATGTGAAGTGTGAAATTTGTGAATTTGTAAATCTGGTTCCTTCTTTTGTCACATTGCTAATTGAATTCATTTGTATTATTTTATTATCTTCGTTAAAAAAAAAAGAATACAAAACAGGAGGAAGTTCACCAATATTTAATAACCTTGTCATTGCACTAACATATATAATATACACATCCATATGATGCTTTAACTCTTAGTATATCTGTCTTACAGACGTGAGCAGTTTGTCCAGTGGTCAGATAACAGGACAGAGCTCCAGACCCCCTCATGGCTGGGACTGCCCAACAATGCTGAGATTGTCCTCCTCACTAACCAAGGTAAATATTATCAGTAGTGTCCTAATTATATAACATCAAAACTCTTTATGGGATTAGTGCTAATCCATATTGAAAATTGGACTTTCAGTTTCATTTCAGTGTATCAGTGTTCATTTCTGAAATCTGGACCTTTAATTGTTACTGGATATCATTCACTTAGTCATCCTGAAAGAATGTTCCTAAAACTGTGTTGTAAAGTTGATTAATTACTGATATTACTTGCTTTCAGGCTCTGACCTTGTGAACAAGATGCTGAAGATGCAGCTCCTGGAAGATGATGAGGAGTTGGCGTACGGAGGGGTGGAGGAAAAGAAGAAGAAGGAAGCAGACGGCAGACCTGCCTGGATGAGAATACTGCACAACTCCGTTGTCAACTGGTTCAAACTGGTTCCTAAGGTGAGAGAAACGGGTTCAAGGAGAGAGAAACTGATTTCTAGAGTGTATGAGGACATTGTCAGTTTGCTCTGAAATAAAACTGCAGACTTTTCTGGGGGAAGGGGGTATGCATTGAGATAAACAAAAGAACTTGCTGAGGGCTATGGTGGAATATCTTACAAGCTTTTTATTTTATCTTGTTTATTTTTTTTTCTCCTTTTGGAACCCCAACTCTGTATTTTCTTTGAGAAACCAACCAGGTAAATTTCAAATACGTGACAAATTTTATACAATTTTTCAGAAACTAAATATCTTGCGCAGAACAGCAGAGAACATCAAAGACCCGCTCTTCCGCTTCTTTGAGCGCGAGGTCAACACGGGTGCGCGCCTTCTTCAAGACATGCGCCGTGACATGGATGACATTATGCTGATTTGCCAAGGTCAGAAAAAACCAACCAATCATCACAGATCAATGATGAGTGACCTGCCAAAGGGTATGTGAAAAAACAATTCGATTTCAACTTTTCTTCATTGAATTCATGATAAAATGACACCAATTTATTGAATATTTAGCAAAAATGTTGATCCTTTTGCTGTCATTGTGTTCAACTCAAAAAAAAGATTTAAGTATAGGTGATGTAACTCTTTAACAAGGAAAACGTAATACCAGTTCAAACTGAAATTGGTTATTCCTCTCATGTTGGACTAATATAATGCATAATGGTTATGGCAGTACATAACATAGTTCTGTTGAATCAAAATAATATCCTATTCACCAGGCATAATCCCATTATCATGGAAGCGTTACACAGTGCCCAGTGGTATGACAGTGATAGAGTGGATCACAGACTTCAGTGAGAGGATCAAACAGCTCCAGGCCATCTCTGCTGCCTCACAGTCTGGAGGAGCCATGGAGCTGAAGGTAAGATGGGAATTTTTTAGTCTTTTTTTTCTAGACATTTACTTGAAATTACCACTTTCTGTGAGGCAGAAATGCAGGTAGTGGAGGGATTTTTTTCTTTAATAAGACTTATAACTCCCTAAAGTTGAATATTTTGGAAATATGAATGCATTTTGTTGTTTTATGTTTTAAAATTTAAATCTGATATTTATCAGGGGATGGGGTATTAAAGTGCGCCAAAGGAAATTTAATTTTGGTTTAAAGACCTGCTTATGGCTATTAGGCTAATAAAAAGAAATCAAAATTAAGGTTCTTGGAAAATCAAAGAAAACTTTTTGGGGAATATTTCTTTTGCCACTGTATAGTCAGCTATGTCATTCAGTGTCCATCTGCTGATACACTCCAAAGTTTCTTCCTGTTAGTTTTTAATATTTATTTAATTCCAGAACTTCACTGTGTGGTTAGGAGGGTTGTTTATACCAGAGGCGTACATCACAGCCACCAGACAGTATGTAGCCCAGGCCAACAGCTGGTCTCTGGAGGAGCTCTACTTGCAGGTAAATGTGTAGAAAATAGAGTGTAGAAAACAGCTGGTCCTTGGAGGAGCTCTACCTGCAGGTAAGTGTGTAGAAAATAGTGTGTAGAAAACAGCTGGTCTCTGGAGGAGCTCTATCTGCAGGTGTGTGTGTAGAAAATAGCTGGTCTCTGGAGGAGCTTTATCTGCAGGTATGTGTGTAGAAAATAGAGTGTAGAAAACAGCTGGTCTCTGGAGGAGCTCTACCTGCAGGTATGTGTGTAGAAAATAGTGTAGAAAACAGCTGGTCCTTGGAGGAGCTCTACCTGCAGGTAAGTGTGTAGAAAATAGTGTGTAGAAAACATCTGGTCTCTGGAGGAGCTCTAATTGCAGGTAAATGTGTAGAAAATAGAGTGTAGAAAACAGCTGGTCCTTGGAGGAGCTCTACCTGCAGGTAAGTGTGTAGAAAATAGTGTGTAGAAAACAGCTGGTCTCTGGAGGAGCTCTATCTGCAGGTATGTGTGTAGAAAATAGCTGGTCTCTGGAGGAGCTCTATCTGCAGGTATGTGTGTAGAAAATAGCTGGTCTCTGGAGGAGCTCTACCTGCAGGTAAGTGTGTAGAAAACTGTGGAAAATGGCAGGTCTTTGAAGAAAATCTACCTGCAGGTCTGTGTCTGAAATGTGGCTTATGCCTTCAGCCACTAATTTGCTTACATTACAATTACACTTTTTCTTTATATTTTACAGTGTCTATTCCCTTCCCTTCCAATAATTCAATTATTCTATACTTGAAAGCGTGTTTCTGTAGATGTACTTTTTGTAATGTTGATGACCCTTTAAATTTTATAGAACATATTTCTGTTGACGTCTTAAGCATTTAACTTCATTGTAGGTTTGAAGAATGTGGTTATGTAAGGTTTATCTTCTTTCTGTGCAGGTGTCAGTGTCCAACAAAGGCCAGGACCTGAAGCTGGATGACTGTAGTTTTGGAGTGAAGGGACTGAAGCTGCAGGGAGCTCTGTGTGAGAATAACAAACTGAAGCTCTCCTCTACCATATCCACTGACCTGCCTTTTACTGCCCTGGGCTGGAGAAGGTGAGCTGTTGAGATGTTTTACTGTCTTATTTTATTTTGAAGAAGCCTTTGTGTACTGTATGACATATGATGGGTAACGTTTACATACAGTGAATATTTTCCCACTATATACCATGGTTTGATTATTGAATATACTCTCACATGAAAAATGTACTGGTTATTTTATTAAGTTCATTGTTGATATGCATCAATATTTTGATTTGGCGTACAGATTTATCCTAGATGAAGCCTGAAGTTCATGTATGTAATAATAATAATAATATAAACCCTCCTTGTTTCCAGAATGGAGAGTGGGAAGAAACCCCAGGGTAAAGTAACCCTGCCTGTGTACCTGAACAGTACCAGGGCCCAGCTACTGTTCACCCTGGACTTTGACACCCAGGACACAGGCTCTGGCAGAGATCACAGCTTCTACGAGAGGGGCGTGGCTTTGGTCTGCTCTAATCTCTGAATGGCTGATATTGGTGTGGATTCCTAACTCCACACGGACTGAATTGACTACTAATGCGTATAAACTGTCATAGTTTGTGAAATCGTCATTATGAACTTTGTCTGTGGCTGAATTAATAGACTTGAAAATGCTTTGGTTGTAGACGTCACATTTATTAGATATTCACCAAAAAAGGGGATCTTAACATTATTCAGAACTGACTTTATATATAGTGACTTCAAGGATCGGTAATATATCATGAAATTTGTAGTGTGCAAAGGATAAGAAGTACATTCATTGTACAAATGAATTTGATACCTTAGGGTTGTCCATACTGCCGTGTAGGAAATGGAAAGATACCGAACTGAAGAACTGTGCCTAAATGACATACTTTTTCTGCTCTTCTGAAATGTGTAACACACGTGGTTCCAGTTTGCTTTTTTCCCCACTATATCACGTATTACAGTATACAAATGTGAACATGACGTGTTAATCCAATTAATAAGGTTGACTGACCTATATTAACGATTTGCCCTGTATTGCATGCACTGAAATAAATACAGTAGAAAAAGAACGTTGTTAAGAATGAATGAATGTGAGAATCAAATATTCTGTAAACACTGGGTGTGCATAACTGAACAAAGTGATCAACACATTTTGAAATATTTAATTTCTAATCATCTATAATTTTACGTGCAGGCCTTATTTTTTAACGGCGGCGATAGTAATTGTTTGTATGACAGTTATTAACTTTATGAATATCCACAAGAACGCGAGGGATTAATGGCTTGCATGAAAAATTAACAAAAAGTAGTTAGGTCCCGATTTTAAATGTTTATTCGTAAATAGTATACCGATTATATAATGATACAATATAAAGATTGCAAAAAAATACGCTTTTTAGGAAAATAATAGAAGGAAGTTTTATCAGGATTTTATACTATAAAAAAGTTTATAAATACTATACTGAAAATATATTTATAAAATATGCTTAATGGCAGTTTCATCCGTGAACAAGACATGGTCGATATCGTCTTACTGTCAACGGCAGGGGTAATGTAAGGACATGGACGGATATATTGGGGAAAACACCGACCCCCTAAGTGGCGCGATTTGCACAAATCAAATGCAAGATCAACAGTCAAGGACGTTTGAGCGTATATTGACAAACTCTTGCCTCTGAAACAATTGAATATGAGCACTATTTTTTATGTACAGACACAGATGTCACCTGCGTCTGTCGTCGCCATTTACCTTTCAGAATCATGAGGATAATAAAATCACCCACTTCAAATAACGTTAGAACGCTGGCTCCAAGGATGAGTCCCAACGCCCCTCCAATGTCACACCCGAGTGTGAACGCATTGTAGGCTTGGTACTGCTCTCTTCTCTCGTATGAAATTTCCCGGAAGAATATGTCGAGTTGAACAAAGTTTTTCTTATACTTGTTGACTTTCGTTTCATTTGTTGTGGTGGCACCGTTGTTGGCATGGTAATCCGCGATTGGTGCTTGAGACAGACTGACCTCGTACTTGATGGATTCACACTCTACGGGACATGAATGACTGCACTGCCCCTTTTCCTGGATGAACAAATTATAATTCGGTGTGTAGCAGTTGAACAACCGTTCAGGGTCACAGAAACGCGCTCTAGGTCCTTGGTGGTTTTTAAACTTTAAAAATCGAACGCACTGACATTTCTTCTCCATGTACTCGTAGAGGCATTCCAGCCGGCACGCAGACTGAGAGTAGACGGCGTGATGTTTCAGTTTGATGTCCCTGTTACACTTCCCCCACTGTGACGTGTCGAGGTTACTAATCTGGAAATGAAGGCAATACCAGTATAAATGTTTGACTTGTTTTTCTCATTCACAAAACTAAATATAAATGCCAATTTGTCAGCATTTACGTTTATTCCTTTTTGTCTCTTTATTTATTCATTCATTTAATTATTTATCCAATTATTTGTTGAATGGTGTTGTTTTCATCATATTAATACTATTCGTAAAGTCGTTTGAAAGACTTCGGCAGAATCTTAAAATAATTGAATATTTAAAAAACGCACTTTAAGAATTATAATTAATATCTTAGTCCAAGGAACTAACTACAGCAAAATACAAATTTGGTTTTAATCTGCTTGTGTACAATAAGCTGTTCTGTAGTCATGTGTGCAATTAGAATTCCAACTCTGATTCGGTAAAATGTTGCATTTAACACTACACTAGTACCTACGTTAATCATCTTAAGTCCAACTAAAGTATGCATTCCGGCGCCCACTGAGAATCCCATATCAGTGATCAACGGCGGTTCTCGAGGATCGTGGACCATCACCTGAAAGGAATACAGGATCTTCCTTCACTTTGGCGTGAAAGAGGCGGAGAGACCATTACAGAATTAAGCTGTCTTTCTTTCATATTTAGGCCGTGGGCCAACTAGCACTCGGCTTTTCTCATTCTGAATGGTCCTATATATGGGTTTGGTAGACCCATCCACGTGTCTGGGTTCTCTGAAGCTTATTAAGTCATTTGGGCAGTACCATACCTCTTAAGCAACATTTTAGGATTCTTGCAAACTGTTGCTGCAAATACGCAGCAAATTTGCAAGAAGGAAATTAACCATGCAAATGAGGTACTGTTTTAAATTTGAAAGAATATGCAACAACCTGCAAATACCTTTATGCAAACTGTTTATTTTGCTGCAAATTTGCTGCAAGCTTTTCATTTTACTGAAGGATATATTTCATGTGTTTTCACAGGAAGAATTTCGACTTTTTACTCTCCTATGTTTCAAGTGTTTTTTTTTTCTTTTTTTTTCAAATGTTTTGTCTCAAAGTTGATCACATACCTGGCTGTACCAAATTCAACTATCAATCCATTGAAAAAAATATATATCAAGTACAATTACCTTGAAACCTGCTCCTTTTCCAGCAAAGCCCCTGAAGTAGTCCGCCTGTTGCACATCCAACGTCAACTGGAGCCCGAAGAGACTACCGCTGCTGTCGCTCTCCAACCGTTTCTTATCTCTTAATTCTATTAAATTAAAGCATTTAATTATTGAATTTGACTGTTGGATATTTTTTATTCCACTTTTACGGTCGTAGGCATTTTATCACTTTAGCTACAAAATTAGCAAAATTTTTCAAACTTGAAAAAAGTTATTGACCACTGTCATGTGAAAATAATAAGTAAATCCTACAACTTGCGTAATTAAATGAGATCAAGTGTAGTGTGTAGGCTACACTGTACGTTTTAAATTATCAAAAGAACTAAAAATGGCTGGTTGAATCGATTAGCACTCCTTACCATGATTAAAGGAATAACAGACTCCCATATCTGTATAGATACGGCTGAAGTTATCCATACTGCACTTTGTTCCGCGCCATATACACTGGAGAATTGGAAGATCCACATTGAAAAAGTGATTACTCATGTGTTCGATAACTTTGTAAAACAGAATAGCGGATTTAATAGGCAAATGTTGTATCTGCTCTTTTATGTGTAAACATTTATATACTGGTATCTACCGCTGGTATTTCAACTCTCTCTCTCTATATATATATAGGCCTATACATGTTTTGTATATAAAGGCATTAAAGATATATGCGTTTACCTTTTGAAGAAATGTTTCTGTGTTATTAAGAACCGAGTCCCATTCGAATCTGCTGTTGTTCAAACCATCAAAATTTTGATCGCCAAGACTAAGTGGGAAATACCTCTCAAACGCTTCCAGTTGCCCCATGTTTCTTGCTGTAAACTTCGAAATAGCGTTATAGTTGCATATCGTGACCGCTGGAAATTTTACGGAACGCGGAATGACAGTGTATGTGTTGACACGAACAGGTCGCGAGGAGTAAAAAATTGTACGTTCGTAAATTTGGAATCCCATCAGTAATAAACCACCTAAGAAAAACGCCAGCCATATTATTCGCCGAAGAAAACCCGATTCTTTGCTCACTATTTCTTGCAGAGCTTGGCAGTTAACACGATCTGCAAATTGCTCTATTGCTGGCGGTGCTTGAACAGAGCTATTGTCAGTTTTGCGCAGATATGGCGTGGGCGAAATCATTTTTCAATGTGATATTTCCAACTAACTGCCACAAAATCGAGAAGCCGTTCTTAAATATGACCTGTCGTCGTTGATGACGTCGAACTGTCGGCAATTAGAGATTGAAGATCATCAATAATTCTAAATGGACTTGGTGATTGCAAGTGGCACAAATGGTCTGTCACTAATGAAAAGTAGAGCAAATTATCGACATTACTCATACTGTTTAGCAACAGCTTTGGCAGATTACACGACGTGCATAGACTGACAACCAGTCTAACGGTAAAATCAACCTCGACATTTTGCAAAAAAAGTCAAATATTCTCAATACTGGCGAAGTATTATAAGAGCAAAACATACGGACAGTCGCGTTTTATCCCTGCTGTACCATGACGCAACTACTGAAATGCGACACTTCAACAGACAGAAACATGAAACTCCTGATTTTAAATAGGTGTCATTTAAAGAGAACGAATTTGATTTAAATATTAATGAAACGCCGAGCAAATCGGCATTAAATATCTTACATTCTCCAAACAGCTTTGAAATAAATCGATCCCAATCTTAATTAGACGAACGCAAATTGACCAATATTATTAATATTTATCAGTTTTTATGACGCAACTTATGTCCCAGAAGTTATTTAGTAATTTGTTTCGCAATCAACGTGATTAATTTGAAGAGGATGCTCTTTGGCCTTCACAGTTTTATTTGATTGGTTAATTTGTCAGAATCAAATTGTATGTTTCTGCCACGTGCATAACACATGCAACCTGAGTTTTCGGTACGATCCAAATATTATGTAATGCAAATAATATTTTAGATCTTTAATTTAAAACAAGGCTCTTAGTGGTTGCCTTATAAAGAAATATTGAATGTTGGGATGACAAATCAAAATGGAAATTCTGGCAAAAGACAAAATTTCGAAAACAAGTAAATGCGTGATCGCTTCGGAGAAATGGGGTATAAATACTTTCGTATTTGTATGAAAAAACGTTTAAAAACTTGTCGGCATCACTATAAAAATATTTTCACTTTAATTGTTTTTAAACAATTTTCAAAATATACTTATTTGGTACATCTGGTAGCATGTAGAAGATGATTTCAATGAAATGACTATACATGTATTGTCAAGGGGCACTCCAATCCCTAGTGCAATTCATGTTCTGGGTATTATTCAAACGCCATTAAGTGAGATTTTGTGATGTTATGTTTGAAGCTTTTGCAGCAGTCTCGGAGGAATAATTAAATTAATTGGTGTTGCCTATCACTTTAACAAACCTCAATGCACTTACTGATCTGGGATAGTCTTACCATATGGGCTCGAAACTGCGACAAGACACCAGCTAGTACACTCCTGCCTTACGGGCCTACACTATATATATTATTAAAAATAATAAATTATATTTTAGAGAACATCTTTACCATTTGCAATATTCATTATGTACAACGTGTACATAAATATTTCGTAAAAAAATAATTGAAAGAATCTGCACACGGGTCTGACAATATGGTAATAGTACACAAGTGGCAGTTAAATACTTCTTGTGACCTAGGACTTTACTGTGTGACTGTGTCAAACGGACGATTTTGACATGTGCCCTACATAACGATATGTGTAATTTAAACGTAACAATATTAGTTTTTATGACGTCGATAAATTTGTGATTGATTCAACGACGTTGTTGAGGTTGACTTCAGTTTCTAATAGCAATAAGCAGCAATGGGACTTGCTAGAAATGGTAGGTTCATGTCTATTTTTTCGGCGTTAAAGCAACAGATCAGAATGTTTATGAAGCTTTAAATGTATGGGAATCACAGATGTATTAATAGCATATTACTTAAATTAAAAAAGAAATGCAGTGCAATTGATCACTTTTCATAAGCAAAGCTGTCTTGAAAAACAAATAGAATTTATATGTTCTTTAACAGCATTTCTAAGAGATGTTTTTTTGAACACGTTTATTAGTTTATGAGAATCATAAATAGTGTACATATGTGGAGATGGCAAATCGCTATGTATTATGAGATATCTTCGAGATAAAACAATGTGAAGATACAGAAATGTAATTAAATGCGGTGGTAGTCTCGTTATTTGAGGCAGAAGTCACGTTAGTGCCGAAACCCCTTTCGTAACCATCTATGGAAAGTTGAGCCACGCCAGATAAAGGAATATTCTGGAAACCTCCTGACTCTCATTTGCTCCAGGGCACTTCAGAAATAATTTATTTTGCAAGATGAAAATACTCTTTTACCTCCTTATGCGTTGGATCAAAAGGGCCTATTGGTTGCTCTTTTAAAGGGAAAAATCATTCTTTCGATGAGAACAGTATTAAGTATTCATTTATAATATAATTAAACAAAAGATATCTTTTGTGATTGTCGTTAGCAGAGTTTCTTTCCTTTGCCTTTCAGAACCATGAGAATAATAAAATCACCCACTTCAAATAACGTGAGAACGCTGGCTCCAAGAATGAGTCCCAGCGCCCCTCCAATGTCACACCCGAGTGTGAACGCATTATAGGCTTGGTACTGCTCTCTTCTCTCGTATGAAATTTCCATGAAAAATATATCGAGCCGAGCAGTGTTTTTCTTGAAATCAATAACATCTCTATAACCGGAGTCATTAATCATCTCTTCTGCATAATAATCTGCGAATGGTACTTGAGACAGACTCACTTCATACTTGATAGATTCACACGCCACAGGGCAGACATGTTTGCACTGCCCCTTTTTCTGGATGAACACGTCATAATTCGGCCCGTAGCAGTAGAACAACTCTTTAGGGTTACAGAAACGGCCCGTAGATTGTCTTATCTTACCAAACTTCAGGAACTTGACACACTGGCACTTTTCTATCATGAAGTCGTAGAGGCATTCGCGTCGGCATGCGGACTGAGAGTATTCCGGGTGGAACTTCAGTGTTATGTCCTTGCGACAGCTGCCCCACTGCGTCACGTCAAGGTTACTTACCTGAGATATGAAAAGACAAAGGCAGTTTTAAGTGATAAACGTTTCTCAATGGTACGATTACAGATCTACGTTTTCTGAGCTGGAGACATATATCGTGTTTATTTGAACATGCGCCAGTTTCTTAGGGTTAAATCAAAAAGAGAAAAATGATTGAATATTACTGTAAAATCTAGCATCTTTGCACAAAAAAGTATTTGATTAGGTTATTTTAAATATAAAGATGCTATATACAATTATTCTGAAAGCAATTTAATAGAATGAAATTTTGGATATCGTCAATATGATTTAAAATGATTCTCAGAACTCTGCCTGAGAAATATGCCGTGTTATACTCGCCACACGTCCTTACATTGATCATCTTAAGTCCAACTAAAGTGTGCATTCCGGCGCCCACTGAGAACCCCATATTGCTCATCATCGGTGGATCTCGGGCGTGGACCCTCACCTGTAAGGTTCACGAAATTAACTGTCTTTATTAAATCCCTGGCCAGTCTTTGTTCGATTGTGATGAGATCTTACCAAGAATTAAAAAGTCTTAGCAAATTATCAATATTATAAAAATCACACGTTACCATCAAACACGTCTATTTGTTAGCTGTTTCACTAATTATAGGACCAGTCGTTTTTTAACATTTAACAGGAACTATGCAATAGAACCTACATTTTCATTCAAGGCAATATGTCAACGGTGGGCAAATCATCCAGGTGTATGACATTCCGTATTTCGGTTGACAACTAAATTCTGTAACCATAAAACTAAATACGTTTTCATAGTTGGGATGTTTATGAGGAAACGAATACTATTTACGAGAAATTTATTTTGGAATTCCGAAATCAAGAATGAAATGCTCTTAAACTGTGTTCAAGCACATGGTATTACCTTGAAACCAGCTCCATAGCCAGCAAATCCTCTGAAATAGTTTCTCTGATCCACGTCTAACGTCAGCTGGAGGCCAAAGAGTCTTCCACTACTGTCGCTCGTTAACCTATGACCGCTATACCCTGTAATATAACAGCATATAATAATAAAATATTATTATTATTATTATTATTATTATTATTATTATTATTTCTTCAACAACAACAACAAAATGATGATGATGAGGAGGAGGAAGATGATACAACCTTGTGTTCATTGAATAAATGCAAAGTCAGCTCTTTATTTAAAAAATGAATGACAATGCAATATCATAATATCATCGAGAAGAAAGAAGGAACAAACCTTACCCGAATTAAAGGTGTAGCAGATCCCCATATCTGTATAAACAGGAGTGAAATTTTTCATGCTGCAGCTTAGCCCGCGAAATGTACACTGTAATATAAATGTATTATATGCATTTGGTTTTTAGTACGGAGTATGTAAGTTTGAAATATAGGCCTATGTCTTGGTTAAACACGTACGTGTGTTGTCTTTAAAACTCTATATCGGACAGGAGAATAGAGGAATGTGATGTTTGGTGTGTCATTAGCGCTTAACTGACTACCTGGTTCTGGTTTTTGGCATTGTTGCATTACGTAAAGTGTGGTGATTTAATTGACCGGTTCTTTTGGGTTCGTCCTAGTGGGACTGTGAAAGATCATAGTTTTTCCTAAAAAGTCTATAATTTGGGAGACGATTTTGAATTTTTGAATATTAACTTGCTGTTGTATGGTGAGTGTACTGTAATAACAATGACGTGAAACAGACAAACATATTATCAATCCTTTTTGAAATGCTCTATTGTTGAAATTCTTTAAAGAATTGATGTCACAATGGCACTGTATACAGTTTATGTGTAATTCAATAAAACGATGAAATCGCTTGTTTTCATTTTCAACGGTTGAAAAGACAAAAGGAAAGTTATATGAAGATTAAGGTTACATTAAGGTAACCATACTATTTAAACATCTAAAGCTATATATTTGATAAGAAACTTACCTCTTTAACGAATGGTTTCGAGACATTTAGAACAGAGTCCCAGTCGAACCAATCGTCTCCTAAACCTGTGAAATTTTCACTGCCAACTTTAAGAGGAAAATATCTCTCAAGCGCTTCTAGGAGATCCAGATCCCTTGCAGTCATTTTCGAAATGGCATTATAATTGCATATTGTTACCACCGGAAACATTACGGAAAGCGGAGTCACGGTGTAGGTGTTAAAACGCACCGGATGCCCGGCATAAAACGTAACGCGTTCGTAAACCTGGAACGCCATCAATATCAGTCCGCCCAAAAAACACACCAACCATATCAACCTCCTGATATACCCCGATTCTCTGCTCACTATTTCCTGCAAAGCTTGACAGCTGACACGTTCTGCAAATTTCTCTATCACTGGTGTTTCCTGGTCGGAGCTGCTGTCAGTCTTGCGCGGTAATCGGCTGGGAGAGATCATTTTTCAATGGAATGATTCCAACTCTTAGTAACAAAATCGGAATACCGTTCTTTAATATAACCAGTCTCCGATGATGACGTCGAACTGTTGACATGATTCAGCAATTAGGGATTAAATGTCATCAACGATTCCAAATGGATGTAGTTATTGAAAATGACACTAAAACCTGATACTAATGTAAAGTTCAGTAGAGCAAATGGGCGACATCAATTAGACAAAAACAGCTTTGGCAGATTAAACGACATGCAAGGACAGATAGTCATTAACGGACGGACATCTCATGAGCAGGGTCATCATTCCTTCCTCGCTTAAATTGGTATTCCTATACCTTTCCCACTTTCTAATCGTGGAATAAGAGGGGGAGGTCCTTGTCTGCGAGGACACTGAGGGGAATGTCAAGAGTTTCGTTTTGGAAAAACGATTCTGGAAATAATGGATATCAAATAATAGAATAAACTTAAGTAACATATATAACTAAGTTTAACCTTTTAACTTGGGGTTTGAAATTGCGGAAGGGGACAATATGCCATCTACCTTTTCTGCAGGTTAAAATACTTAACCAAATGAACCAAACTGAAGAACATTTCACTTTGCGTTGGTAAAATTCACAGCCTTCTGTCATTATCTTATTGTCTGCAGTACAATCAACAAATAAAGATAAATGAATAAAAAGCAATATAAAACGACAATCTCCAACAATTTGTACTGCGAATGGGATAAATGCGTAAAGTATGTTAATTCGTGTTTGTAGTCTGTATCACTAAAAAGATTAATTGCATGATTTAGAGATGCACGAAATGTGTTGGCTCTGTCCCCGATAATTGAAAAGCCTCCCAGTCATATTGCAAGCGATGCCAGATGTGCTATAGGCTGCGTTCACAACCGTGGACTAATCAATCCGAGAATAAAACGTGGCTAGCACTTGAAAACAGATTCCTGCCTCCTACGCGGGCTGTCCCTGCAGAGCAATTAAATCCCGGATTGTTTTCAAGTGGGTTGAGTCTTCCGCAGATCAACTTGTCCTAAGTCTGATTTTCTGTTTGTTTGCCATGTAACTGGTAGTGGATCTCATAATCCGATCCCTTAATTGCCACAGAATACACATTCCAAAAGTTTAAATTGTTAAAATACCTCAATCGCAGCACCACAACATAAAAGTCTATGAATAAACAGTATATTTAAGAGTGCATTCCCAGAGATTTAGATCGATCCAGAGATTTAGATTTAGATCGACCTAACTCCCTGGGGGTTCACGCTAAATTGTGTCAGCCGAGCGAGCACCATAGTTAATTACCCCCTTACAGCTTTTAGTAGGCGGGACAGACGCTTAAGCCGGCTAAACTGACGGTAATCTAGTGAGACACCCAACAGGGATAGATTGATCTAAAATCTATGGGAATGGGGTCTAAGATTGCTGTATCAATTCCATCAGATCCGAGACGTTAGGGTTGCATTTATGCATTTTTTAAATTTTCAACACTTTTGTCATGACTACTAGACAAATCCATAAGGAAGGAAAAGATTACTATATTTCCAGATTTTGTCAACTTAACTGAAAAGTGTGATAAGAACAGTATTAGTTATCTATTAGCTACGTCTTAGTTATTATCCTTCTTAGTGGTGACACTGGAAGCAGAGTAGAGTGCTGCAGGGCGACATGTCATTTTTTCCAGTATTGGAAAACTTTCACTTCCCCATCAGGTTTAGTCACAGCCAGGTCTCCACCCTGGTTGATGGCACATGCCCATGATTTACATAATCCGTCAGTTTTGGTTGCTATGAACCTGATGAACTTGCCATCTCGGGATACAAGGTGTATGCAGTGGTTATCACTGTCTGTAACCAGTATATTGTCATATGCGTCAACACAGACAGTACCGGCTTGACCCAACTTGTTATCAGGTCCTGTGTACTGATACAGTGGGTCACCAGATGGGGTTATGAGGTGAATTTTGTTAGGTGATGTATCACTAACAACAAGGTTCCCATTGCTCATATATGCCACTTTATATGGTGCATTAACAACTGTTCCCCATCTTTGTCCTTCACATCAGTTAGAGTTATTTTCCCTTCAATATCAATACTGAATACACTCACAGATTTTTGGTCACCCTGTGCCACAGTAATCTTAGTGCAGCTGTCACTGAGAGTCAAACCAAATGGGTTGTTGACATCTACAGTTTGCTGTACTTCCCAATGTGAAGAGAGGATGAACAGTTTGTTATTGTGGGCATCAGATAGAACCATCCTTTCATCAGGGAAGTGGCAGATCCCAAGTGGACATTTCACGTGTGTGCCTGAAACATTTGCCATCTCCTTTCTTAATGTACCATCTGAACTAAAAACCTTGATATTGTTATTATTGATGCCATGGGTAGTAACATACTCCCTGTTGGGACTCACTGAAATATCCACTTGTCTATCACAGCCTGTAGTGAACCACTCATAGTATTGATAGTCTTCTAAATTTGCTTACATGAGATATGCATATTTGTTTTAGTTTTAATTATTCAAATGTATATAGGCAGGGCATGTTGCATGTCAGTTATGGAAGCTCATTTAAAAAGTAAATCAAGATATAGTATAAAAGCAGCAACCGAGCCACAGAGGGGAGGGAGATAGACAGAGAGTGCTGGAGATTTATAGGAGACTTATAGATGGATGTAGTGAGAGAGAACAGATACCCGAGTTCTTCAGTCGGTTGAATAAATCATGTAGCAGGAACCTATACCTGCCTGTCTCAGTTGTGTTTTGGTGAAAAAGAAATTCAAGAACTTGAATAACCGAACGGGCCGGTTATTACAAGCCAGCGCCAAACTCCAGCAAACAATCCACCAAACATTCAAGGTGTTGTTTGAAATCGGGCTTAGCTGGTCGTCCAGATACATGTATCTGCACATTCCCAAGGCCAGCCCCACTGGATATCTCTTGGTCCACTTCTGTGTTGGTGGTTAGTGTGAGATTTATTTCTTCAGGAATTCCCTCCACAGCTGAAGTGGACTGTAGCTCATCGAGTTTCTGTCCAAGTTGGTGTTGTAACATGATGACATTTATGGGATTCCCATTCTGAAGGATCATCTTTACTACATCTGTTGTGTATTTGATAGAGTTGCAAGTGGTACTGCACTTCTCGTAGGAAATTTGTAAATCATTTCTGTGAGCACTGGTGGTTTTATGAAGGTCTTGTAGTAAGATTTTCTCTTGTTGATTTACCAAGTGTCGCAGATGAGCTGCACGAGCTTTTATCTGCTGCTGAACAGAGCTTTCATTTTCTTGGAGGGTTGCCAGGGTTTTAGAAATTTTTACCAACTTTCTCTTACCAGTTGCAAATTTTCTCTGCATGCCAAGAGATTTGGTCTTAAGTATTGGTTTGACAATCTCTGCAGCTTTTTCAAGAGAGATAAGTTTGTGACCATCATGGTGTAGATCTCTGCAGTCACGACAAATGGGCACATTGCATCCTGAACAATAATATCTTATGCTCTCATTTTTGTGTTCTGGGCAGAAAATCTTTTGATGCTTTTGGATATGTTTTTGGTAATCTTTGTTCTGTAGCTGTTGGAAAGTGAGCACTTTATGGTCTTTTGTGTGGCTGGTACCACAGTGTAACAGGGCACACCTCTCACACAGGTAGTCATGGCAGGTGATGCATTTTGAAGTAGCTACAGTTTCTCTTTCAAAAGACAAGGCACAAAACTTACACTTTTTCTGACGTGGTGACTGAAGTACGGTGTCCTGTAGGCTTTCAATGTAGAAATTGTGAGTAAAGCCCTCGACTCCTTCTTTAGGAACTTTAGTTTCTTTCTGACATACGGAACATTGAACTTTTTTTCCTGGTGTTAAAGCAGAAATATAAGTCTGCAGACAACCTTTACAAAATGTATGCCCACAAGGTAAATATGTCGGCTCTTTGTACTCTTCAAGGCATAAAGAACAGCTGATAAAATGTTCAGTTATTTTGGCTCGAAGACTTTCTTCATCACCTCTGCTTGCACCGGCTGTAGCCATCTTGGGTGTTTGGAGTGAACAGTTCTCAGTAGAGCAGATATACATTTATCTATAAATCAGTTGACTCCCTTTCAGGGCCAGGATGGTTTATTTTTGCATTTAACTGACATATTTTTAACTTAAACATATAGTTGAGTTTTGTACTAATTAATTTTACATTTTTGAAAATACTTTGCTGGCAACTGAGTAGAGATATTTTTTCAGAATATATATCAACAGAAAATTGCAACCGAAGATATGATGAAAAGCATTTTATACATGTCGAAGCCAAATTGAAATCCAGGCAGATTTAAAATTTGTCAAGGTCAGATAAAAGGGACTGGTGTACATGGTGTCTGTAGCCTTATGACTCTGGTCTACCTACAAGATGAGCCACTTGTTCTGAACAATAATATTATATGATTTATGGCAGTGCTAAATCATCATGTCCTGTGTAATATTCCAACAATATCAGCTCAGGAAAAAAAAAGAATGAAGAAAAAAAAATAGAAAGAGATGGATCCGGAGAAGAAAATAGTCGTTGGCATGCACCAATTCATATTAATTTTATGAATATTTGGATTCAATGTCTGAAGTGTCATTAACTTATTCAACCATTTAATATACATCCCCCCCCCCATTCTGATATGTCCCCTCCCCATCCTGATTTCCTTTAGCATTGGATTTGACCAAAAAAATACTCATTTTAAGGCAAGTGATATCATGGGCTTCTAGTATAAAGATCACTTGTCACATCACACTGATCACATCAGGTACAGAGCACTGAAGTTCGGACATTTTTGTCAAAAAGTTCAGGCGTACACACACCATGTCTTACAGTGTAATACATGTAGGTAGTAACCAGCGCATCATAGCATACATGTATATAATAAGTTTTCAAATAATAATTCAAGAGGTCAGGATTTTTCCTAGTTGTGCAAATTGTTAGTGTATACTACACAAAGCACAACATAGCTTGGCCTTTTTTTATTATTAATTAACTTCCACAGTGTCAAACGATCCCAGTATATGTACATGTGACTGGCCTACATGCTGTATGTCACCATGTGCCTCGGGTCTCTGTCAACAAGATAAGCTGAACATTTTAGCATGCATTGCACAAGTGTTTTCATGTGCACTAGTTCAACAGCACTGTTAGTGGATTCAGAAGGAGTGAAAAATGGAATCACATCTATAAAACATGGGTTGTCACTCTTGTGTACCTTATGCCCACCAGTTGAGGAGGGAGGGAGACGGGGGCTGGGCAAAGTATTGCTACACCCCATTTTGATTTCCTGACAAAAATAGTTAATATTTACACATTTATTGCATCTCATCAGAGATAACGAGATATGTGTACACAAAAATGGAAACACAATTTTTTGAATTGGGGTGACTTTAAATTATTCTTGATTATATTAATTGTTTCCTGGTCCTTTTCAGGGTGACAACGCGCAGAGGGATATGCAGTGGTCGAGAAAGACCCGTATTGGTGTTAGCCATGAACGGATGCCGAGACTGACCGATGAAGAATACACAGCAATACAGCTGTTGCTTAACAGTAATGTCCCTGTCCGAAATAGGACTGTCGCACACGCACAGAAAGTTTACCTTCTGCAACTGACAGAACATCCGTATCGTGAACAGACTCTCTCACGGGTCTTGATAGACGGCAGGATTTTTCTTCTTCTTTCAGAGATTAATAGTTTTATTAAACATTTTTATTATAAAACTAAAGGTGATGGTGCAAGAAAATTACGGTATCGACTGAGATCTACTGGTATTTTTCTATGGAATCGGCGAGAAAGAAATTCAAAAATTTATAAATTCAACATAAAAGAATACCTAAATTTTATAATGAACCTACCCTGATATCATTAAAGGAAGACTATTCAACAAAGAATACAAATAGGCATTACAGACATATCATCTGTGGTAGTAAAACACAAGGGTATAAAGTAGAAGTACATATTGTCTAGCTATTATTGATGTTTTTAGTCGGTATTTGTGGCTGAGGCCCTAAAAACCAAATTAAAGAGCATATGAGGTGGCTTCCAGCGTCGAGAACATTTTGTCAAGAATGGGGAACAGCAACCAGAGTGCAGACAGATCAGGGATATGAATTTAAAAGACTTTTCAAAGAATTATCCAACAAATTGAGAATCAAATCTTAGGTTATCTGAAGCCTGCATTCTCTGTAAAGCATTGACGAATCTTTTATTATCCTCTCAAAATTATATCAAAGAAACACAACATAAACAGACGTTTGTCCAGTTTGATTGACCGGTCATTGACTGACAGATAGAAATTATATATATATATAACACCGGAGACAATCAACAGCAGCAAACAAGGGATAGTACAGTACATACCCGCTTTCTAAAAGCAAAGATAACCTCACAGATTTCATTAACTTGCACGTTCAGAGAGCTCGGCCAATCATTGCGCAGGCATGAGAAAAAACAAGGGCTCAGCCAGGGAAGCTATAATCCTGTGTAAAAACGTAAATATCCAGGTACACGCATATAACCCGCAGTCTCATTTCACAAGAAGATCACATATCGCGCGAACGCCATAATGTCTTCCATGGCCTTTCTCTTGATGCTGGCAGTCTACACGGTAACAAACGCAGACGCCGTGCTGGGAAAGTATAAGGATGAAACTGCTACGAGGAGGATCCACTTTCCTAAACCAGGCCGCTGTAACGTGGGACTCTTGATGAACCCTGATTGGGATAAGGTTGGTACACCTTCTCTTGTGGATTGGAAAGTCACAAATAAAGAAAACCCTGAACTATAAGCGTGATTGATGCGCGCAAGCTCCTTCATTTTTAACGATCCATATTCGCACGCTTATCCTCTGGCAGTCAGCGACTAGCGCAAAGTGCAAATGTGCAACTTTCATAGTTTTGTAGAAAGTCTAAAAGGTATACAACATTGGTCAAAAAGGTTGTCCCACCCCCAATTTAATGTGCTTTTGTTTATAAATGATCACATCACAGGAGTTAATTGCTATGAATGGTGATTTTCATTCCAGACACCATAACTAACATGATTAGTGGTACAGGAAATACAAACTAGCCGTTAAGACATCCATATTTAATGTCATTTATTCACATTTATTTCATGTAGGCCCTACCCCCCTCCGATGTTCCGAATCCGATGTTCCACTGTCATTTCCATGGAGGTTAATAAATACCCATTAAATTTTAAATGACACCACCAAATGTCACCAAATTTACACACAATTAGCATTAGGGAATGCTCGTTAAAGATTACGTGTCTATTAGCGTGTGTGGCTATCGCGCACTGTAATTTTCTCCTGTAGACGGCGCTACTGCCTTCAACAAGGGTAACAATTCTGTTTTATGGGATATTGTCCCATGTTTCCTAAAAAGCTTGGCGGAATTGGTCCAGACTATTTGGGGTTTAGTTCTCCTCTGGATTGCACACTTCAATTCACGCCACGGGTGCTCAGTAGGTTTATTATTAGGATTCAAAGATGATATCTCCAGCCTCAGAACATTGGGTTTCTGCAACAAATTACTCACAACATGAGAACTGTGTGGAAGTTTGCTGACATGATGAAGCCTGGATCACCCCCGAAGTCCCCTCTTGCAGATATAATGAGGTATCAGTTAAGAATGTTAAGTTCAGTGACCCCAGAAATTCCAGAACTTGGTCAACCATCACTAGGAACAAGTTTGTTTTGCTGAAGAATCGATGTATTTCTTGTATGCCTTCGATGGTTAAATTAGGGCATGTAGACATGTCGTAGAATGCTTTTTGCAATGTTTGTGAAGGATATTATCGCCTGAGGTGTCAGGTCAGTCCACGTTTGGAGAGATTTCCAAGCCCATGGTTTTAGTGCATTGTTCTTACCGAAAAAGAACGTTATTGGGACAATTCAAAGGAACGTCCTCAACAAATATCTCACTCCATTTGCAAGAGGTGACTTCAGGGATACTGCAGGCGTCATCGTGCAAATGCACTTGCTCACAACTCTCGTCTGCTGAGTGATTTGTTGCAGAAACTCAATGTTTAGAGGATGGAGAAACCACCTTTGAGGCCTGTCATTAACCTGACTAAACATCCGTGACATGAATTGAAGTGTGCAATGCAAAGGAGAACCAAACTCTTAATAATCTGGACCAACTCTCCCAAGCTCTTTAGGAAGAATGGGACAATATTCCATAATACAGAATTGTTACCCTTGTTGAAGGCAGGCCGCGCCACCTACAGGAGGTAATTACAGTACCAGGCCTACCCAACTACCAGACTCGGCACCTAAGGATCCTGTATATCGGACCACACTACCCGTTTTCAAGGTGTGTGTCAGATCTCATTTCGGAGTATCAGTCAGAACACCGACAGGATGAGCCCACGCTCGGCTGTCATCTTGATTGGATAGTAAACGATTGTCGTAAAATCGCTATATGATTTTAAAACCGGGTGCATAAATTTGAAAACCACCTAGAACAACCTTAGACTGCCACATTAATCTAATACAATGCAAAAAAGCCCTATCAAAAGGTGTTAAAACATTAAAACCGAATGTCGTAATGTGCCCATATACCCCCATAGAGACAATAAAATGGAGAACTCTAAAGTAAGAGTACAGTCTAAGGTTGTTCTAGATGGTTTTCAAATTTATGCACCCGGTTTTAAAATCATATAGCAATTTTACGACAATCGTTTACTATCCAATCAAGGTGACAGCCGAGCGTGGATGAGCCCGCAGTCTTCCTACAAAATTTGTTCTGGGGTATGATACTCCGAAATGCGATCTGACACACACCTTGAAAACGGGTAGTGTGGTGTGATATACCGGCTAATTTGGGATCCTTATGTGCCGAGTCTGGTAGTTGGGTAGGCCTGAGTACTCGGTAAACACAAACGCTACTAGACAAGTGACCTTTAACGAGCACACCCTAATGCTAAATATGTGAAAATTTGATGACAATTGGTGATGTCATTTCAATTTAATGGACATTTCTTTGCCTCTGTGAAAACCACAGTGAA